AAAAAAAAAAAAAAAAATCCAAATCCTGCACTTTCTTAGCCATCTTTTGAACACCCCAAGATTCTGTACCTTTACTTTCCCTGGAGCCCTAAACCCCAATCCCCGACAAAAACCGAAATCCAGGTCATGGAGTCGGCCAAGAAAGACTTTCAGTCGATGAGCTCCTTCTTGGACCAGGTTCCGACTGTTGGGGCTAGGGGTTTAGTCTAGGAGTTTAGGGTTTAAGGCTTGAGGGTTGAGGGTTTATGGTTTAGGAAGTTTAGGGTTTAGTTTAGGAGTTTAGGCTGCAGGGTGTAGTTTGGGGTTCGGAGTTAGTTTAATTAGGGTTGAGGCTTTCGGGGGGTAAGTTTGGGTTTTTGGTTTATGTTTAGAAATTTAGGTTGTGAGGATTAGGATTCTCAATTCGGGTTTTAGAGTTTATCTTCCCAAAACTGTACGAGGTATCCTTAAACCCTAAACCCCTAAACCCCTAAAGGCCTGAGCCCTTTTCACGCCGTAAGCCCCCAAACCCAGGCGAGACTGACGCTTCATAAACCCCGAAACCCTTATAAACCCTAAACCCCTTAGCCCCTAACACACTAAACCCCGAAACCCTAAACCCCTAAACTGCTGAACACTTATAAACCCTAAACCCTAAACCCCGAAACTCGAAACCCCTAAACCTGAACCCCTAAGTCCCTAAAACCTAAAGGCCTAAACCCCTAACCCTAAACCCTAAACCCTAAACCCTAGACCCCTAGACCCCTAAACCACTAAACCACTAAACCCTAAGCTAATGCGATCCTTGGGATAATGCTGGGGTGCAGGCCAGCGACCTCCTCCTGCTGGGCAGGGACGCTCCGCGGGAGGACCAGGAGGCAACCTTCCTGGGGCCTGCTTAGGGAATATGGCTTAAGTTCCGTTTAGGGTTAAGGGTTTAGAGCTTAGCGTGTAGGGTTGGTTAGTGTTTAGGACTTAAGTTGCCATAATCGGAGTCCACAGCAAAACCATTTGGTGACTTGAGCTAAGTTCCTTAACAAGAGCTCGGTTTGGTTTGAGGTCAAGGGATTCGTGGTGTTGCTTTGACAAGGGATTAGGGTGTGGGGGGGCTTCGGGTTTGCAAATAAACCCTGCCCGAACCGTCAACCCTGAACCTTAAACCCCCAACCCTAAACCCTTAACCCTCAACCCTCAACCCTGAACTCTAAACCCTCAACCCTAAACCCCCAACCCTGAACCTTAAACCCTCAACCCTAAACCCGAAACCCTCAACCCTAAACCCTCAACCCTAAACCCTTAAACCCTCAACCCTAAACCCTAAAGCCTCAACCCTGAACCCGAAACTGGGTGTGGTTTCGTGGTTGAAGGTTTTGGGGACGGTTTGGGCTTTGGGGCTTTGGGTTCAGTTTTTTTTTTGGGTTTTGGGCGGAAGGGTAGGGCACACACCCTAGTCCTATAGGGCCCTGCGGTTGGCGTCTCGTCGGTTTCGTTTATGGTTACGAATATGATTACTCTACGATGAGTGTTGTTGTTATGTTACGCGTATGGTCCTTATTGCTGCTGGCACCATAGTTATATTACAGCTTTCGCCGGTGATGTTGTTATCGTCGTGGTTCTTGGACATTCCGACGACAAAGCTTACCGCCTTCAGCACATGCACCACACGAAACCTTAAACCTAAACACTGAACCCCGAATCCTTGTAGCCTAAAGCCCAGAGCCGATAAAAACACCATAACAGCTATGGAAATCCGTATAAAACTCAACACTGCCGTTGTAAAAACCGTGCAGAGCCAGAAATTCTTGGTAAATTTGGTTTCAGAAAACCATCTAATCCTATAGCAATGAACACCACCAAACCTGAGCCCTTTGTTTTCTGCAGTGGAGGACGTGGAGCCTCAGGGAAGCCTCATCGACATGGTCTTGAAGGAGTCAATGAGCGAAAACTGTAGGGTTTAGTCTTTAGCATATGGTTCGGAGCTCTTCAAGGGTTTTAGAGGTGTCGAAAAGGGTTCCGTCACGGTTCTGGTCGGGTGAAGGTTTTAGGCGCAGTTTTTTTGCACAGGATTCAGAAAGGCAAACGCCTAAACTCTAAACCCAGGGTTCTATGTGCATTTACAGTGCTTTATCGGGTGGAGCAGTAACCGCGGAAGCGCTAGATGTGACAGCCACCAGGGCGGCTTTGGATCTGACCCCCGACATACGAGTACGATGAGGGCCAAGGCCATCATGACATGATGATGATGATGATGATGATGATCTAAACCCTAAACCCTAAACCCTAAACCCTAGTGATGTGCTTGTCACGGAATCGCTCACTGCACGGCTTGCGAGGAGGAGGCTGCTGCCCAAGGCCATGTCGAAGAGAAGCCCTACATTCCCGGCCTTTTGGCAGCATCGCCTTCATCGGCATAGGCCTGTGTATATGTGTATATAGACAGACAGATAGATAGATGGATAGATGGACAGATAGATGGATAGGTAGATAGGTAGATGGATAGATGTATCTGTGCATTGCAGTCATCATGAGTGTGTCTGTGTGTTTTTGCGTACGTGTGTGCATCTGCTCGTCTGTCTGTCCAGAGAACCCCAATACGACAAACGCATCTCAGGAATGGGCCCGCCACCAGGTGTGGGGGCAGCGTCGAGCGACACAGGGGACGAGTATGTGATCCCGCACCTGGCCAAAAATACAACCCATGGCTACGCCGCAAGCCCGAACCAGCCCAAAGTCTAAACACTGCACCCTAGACCCTAAAAGCCCCAAGCGAACACACCAAAGACGCGAAACCCTAAACCCTAAACCGGAACCCTACACCTTTGAAAAACCTCAACCTCAGAGTCCCTGAGCCCGATGCGGGTTTCGGCTATCGGATCTCGTATTTTGGATCCTTGTCTGCGGGCCGAAAACCCTCAAAAGCCCACAATTCCCTCAATGCTGCGGGCCAAAAGCAAGATCAGGGTAGGTCTCTAAATTAGGGGCCCTTTTTTGATCCCAAAATAGTACAGCTCCCTTAGCAAAAGGACGGGACCCTACTTCAAACAGCTACCAGCATCCATCAACCGAGGTACTACGACCGGGTCAGCTGCAGACACGCGGGAGATCGGCTGTCCGGGGGCAAGTCGGTGATGCTGGAGCTACTGGGATGACACCCTAAACCCTAAATACCCGCAAGATGAGATGACTCGTGAGGTTTGTGGCTTCCTGGTCTTCCAGCGTTCAGGGTTTCAGGGGTTCAGGCTTCAGGAATTGGGGTCTAGAGTGTAGTGCAGTATAAGAAAGGAGAGGGAAACAGCAGCAATGGTTGGTTGTAGGTAGTGGTCAGTTTGGCCAGTAAGACTTCTCGGAACAGCAGAAGTCTTGACAATAGTAACGATAGGTAAGTATATTTGTTTGTTTGTGTATGTATGTATATATATCTATAAGACATAAGCATATATGTATGTATGTGTCTGTATATATATATATAAGAGAGAGAGAGAGAGAGAGAGATATATATATATATATATATATATATATATGAGGAGCAGCATAAAGGTTGCACCGCCGGTCCATTTCCCTGCCTGGGCGCTTCTGATGGTTCTGGGCTGTGCGGGATAAGGGCGCCATAAGGGCTCTCTATCAGGGTTCGGGGATTCTGAATTCAAGGGTTTAGGGAAGGAAAGTTTAGGGCGTTAGACATTAAGGGATTCAGGGCCCAGGGTTAGAGGCTCCGGTCGTTTAGGGTTTACGGGCCTTGAAGGGTGTGAGTTCATGCTTTAAGTCGTAGGGTTTAGGCTTCGGGGCTCCCTTTACGACTTCATGACTTAGCGTCAACACTTTCTCGAAACCGAAACCTCGAAAGAGGTCTCAGCCCTAGCCGAGTGCATCCAGAGCAGCATATAGTTTCTATATATTGACGAACACTGCTTGACTGTCGGATTGGTCCATACCTGAACTGTTTGTTGGCCTGAGCCTCACTTCGTCTACATTGGCCTAAGACCCCAAGTGTTTGAGGTTAATATAGGGGCCTAAATAAGTACCTATACTATTTTGAGGGTTCCTTATTATAATTATAGTATAATGCACCCCTAAACCCTATTCTAACTATTGAGGCACCTATATTAGGTAAGGGGGGTTGAGTTTTTTGTCATTGCGGGATTGGTCCATGTCGAAGCTGGCTTGAAACGCATAATCCGAAACCTTACCCCAAAAGTCAACTGGCACTACTCCTATTGTCTTTTTGCTGCCTTTGATAGCAGGGGTTGAATAGGTTTTTACAGGTTTGCCGCAGGGTCTTATGGGGTTGAAACCGAAGTTTGGGTACATAGTAACATCCTGTGGCGAGTAGCTCCTGAACCGGCTCTGTAATAGAACATGCTGCAACCATGCCGAGATCATACCACATCAAAACAGGAACGTGTACTACGATTTAAATCCGGATTTTCAATTCCCGCCCACAAGCCTCCCGAGGACCCGTTCAAGAAACCTAAGTGCGGCCCTCAACTTTAAACGCCTAAATCCGGGAATCCTTGAACCCTAAACCCCAAAGAAGCCCTCGAAAGGAAACCCGAAACCCTTATGAACTTGTAGTAGCGCTTCTTAAGCCTTAGTCTTCTTAAGGCTTGTAGAAGCATTTCTAGAACTTTAAATCTCTTGTAGTCCTTGGGCTCCCGAGGTTAGAGCAGATCTTGTCGCACCTGAGTGCTCCCGGCATCAACCGGAGCGACTTCCCGAGGACTTGCGGCGTCAGTTCGGTTTAGGGTTTTTAGGGTTTAGGGTTTAGGGTTTAGGGTTAACGGTTTAGGGTTTACTATAGGGGCCAAATAAATTACTCATACTACTTTGGGGGTTCCTTGTCATAATTATAGTATAAGAGGCCCCAAAGCCCTATTCTAATTATTAAGGCCCCTATATTAGGGGGTAGGGTTTAGGGCTTCGGAGTTAGGGTTGGGGCCAGGGTTTGAATAGAGGTGCCTTTACAATTAAGGGTCCAGGGGCACACATAGTGTATGCTTTTGTAGACTGAAGGGGGCGATGCTTATTTTTTCTTATCAGTATAGATCGTAGTGTTCATTGCTCTTGCCAGTCGTTCCCTCGAATCGCGCCATGTTAGGTGCTGTCACTACTCCTAGCAACGTTGGTGCTGTTATGAGTCTAAAGGCAGCACCCTCCATTGAATTGGTTTGTAACCTAATTCGCAGGGTTTGGGGTTAATGAAAACCCCCCAAATCCCAAAGCCTAAACCCTGAACTGTAGCCTAAGCCCTAAACCCTAAACCCTAAACCCTAAGCCCTAAACCCTAAACGCTAACCCTAAACCCTAAACCCTAAACCCTAAACCCTAAACCCTAAACCCTAAACCTAAACCAGCAAGTCTCAGTGGCTGGGTTTCAGTTTTCAGGGTCTGAGGGTGCCTGCGTTGAGGTTTCAGATTTCGGGTGCGAACTGCAGGTCTATGGTGCTTTCGGTGCCTCATGTTTGGGACATGAAACCCAACGCCTTCAAACCCCAGACCCGAAAGCCTACACCCTAAAACTTATAAGCCCTGGGCCCCTAAAAGAAGGGTCCTGGGTTTAGGATGCAGGTCGTCCGGGTTTCAGGCTTTTGGGCACAGGGTTTAGGCCAGTTTGGGGTCGAAGCCGAAGCCCGAAACTTTAGGGTTTAGGGTTTAGGGTCCCCCCCACCTGAAAGCCTATCAGCCCATACCTATGAAGCCTTGGGATTCGTCTTGGGGTTCTGAGACCAGTAAAGCGACTCGGCTTTCGGATTCCAGTCTTTCAGGGTTTAGGGCTTAAGGTACATAGGGTTCAGAGTTAAGGTTACGGGGGAGTAGGATGATGCATATCTTATTCGTTATCCTTCAGTTACGTTGTCACGTAGTGAAGTAGTATAGCATGTTACGGGACAATCTAAAATGCAGCATACTATGATAGTCCGCTGAACGGACGCTTACGGTACGTGCAAATCTAATCTCGAAGCCATGCAACCCTAAACCCTAAGCCCCAAAACCCTAAACCCCACATCCAAAAACCCTACATCCTCAAAACCCTGAACCCTAAGCCCTAAACCCTACATCCTCAAACCCTGAACCCTAAACCCTAAGCCCTAAGCCCTAAACCCTAAACCCTAAGCCCTAAGCCCTAAACCCTAAGCAACCAGACCGAAGCCCTAAGCCCTAAGTCCCCCACTCATCCCCCAGGAGAGTGCAGATGGACCCAGCGGAAAGGTCTGCCTTTCGTTGCCAGGCCGCACCTTGGGAGTTGCTGTCCTTGAAGGGCTCCCTTAAAGGGAACCCGACGATAGAACCCTACTTAAAGGATCATGGGACTTAGTAAGTAGGGTCATAACTAAGGTAGCTATACTTATAACCCCAATTAGGGGACTTATAACCTTACTTACTAAGTCCCATGATCCTCCAAGTACCGTAGAAGTTCAACAGTTGGAAAGCCAATAGCCTCAATCCTTTAAAGTAAGGTATAGGGAATCCCAGCACTATGTGTCCTTAATCCGGTTTCCAACTTTTTGGGGTTACTATAGAGTACCCTTAAAGGGAACCCTCTTCTCAAACCTTACAGTACCCTTAAAGGGTTCGCTACAGTAACCCGGACCAGGAAGCTGTTAAGGCACCCTCAAGGAACTCTTCACGGGTTCTATTTAACGCCCTAAGCCCTCAACCCTAAATCCTACGCTCTAAAACATAAACCCTAAACCCAAAACCCGAAGCCCTAAACCCTAAACCCAAAACCCTAAGCCCTAAACCCTCAACCCTAAGCCCTAAACCCTAAGCCCTGAACCCTAAACGATCTTGGACGGATCGTTTGAAGGATCCTGTAGGGTTGTTGGTGTCCTTCGAAGGGCTCCAGGTGCCAAGGAGGAATTCTTGGAAGCTCTGTTTGGTTTGATTGGTATAGGGTTTAGGTTAGCGGCCAGGCTTTGGTGGTTTAGGGTTTAGGGGTTAGGCTTTGGGGGTTTAGGGTTTAGGGTTGAGGCTTTGGGGGTTTAGGGTTTAGTTTAGGGGTTCAGGGGTTTAGGAGTTTAGGGAAGGCTCGGGGCAGTCAGGGAAAGGGGCAAAGCGTTCCTTTGGTCACAGGCTGAAGTATTAGTATCTGGCGAAGCCACCACCCTCAGCAGCCAAGGAAATCGAATCTACAAGTTCCTACCAGGCACGGCTGATGGTTTAGGGCTCGGAGGCTTTTTGGAATGGTAGGTAGAAAGCCTCCAAAACGCACTAAGCCCTGAACCCCCCAACAGGTTCGGCCTTCGGGCTAGCCATGTCGGATGGGTGAGGGTGTAGGGTGGAGTCACGCAGGGCCTGGCATCTCCTGGCAGAGCTATGTCTGCAAAAAGACAGAAGTATGATTCTGAAAAGATATGATGGTATTGTTGAAGAGATGAAGTATTGAAATTCGATTGACGTAACACTGTTGAGCACTTCTGTATGCCTTATCACGCGGTTACCACAGTGCAGTAGATGATGACAGCTGCCATCATGCTTGACGATGGCTACTTGCAGGGCCCTGTCTCTAAAAGGATCCCCGAAGAGTGTCTGCATGATCACTCCGTATTTCGGGTTAACGCTGAGGGATGTCCCCTTAGAATCATCAACCTCATTTGGAAAGTGGCCCCGAACAACGAGAAACTTCGGCGTGCTTCCATGCCTTGAGCTATAATACAGGGAGCTAAATAATTACCTATATATATATATATATTTTTTGTTTTTGTTCTGGGGGGGAGGGAGTGGTCCTTATTAGGATTGTAGTATAACGTGCCCCACAACCCTATTGTCATTATTACGGCCCCTACATTACCTTCACAGTTCACAGTGTCTGGGTACAAAAGGCATGTCTGTGGTGGAGATCGAGCGGATGTTGATCCTCCAGGCGCCCTGCTCGGTCCGCAAGCCTGTAGGACGGTCGCGCAACGTAATGCGACCTAGGAAGACGCTGTACGGCACAAGGTCTCCATTTGACGTTCACTGCGAAAGGCACGCTGCTATAGCTAAGACAAACCCAAAGCCCACAACCTGAACCCTAAACTAATTCCGAATCCTAAACCCCAAACCCAAAACCCTCAAGCTTGAAAAGGCAAAGAGGATCCACGCCCAAAGTTTTCCAGGAGTTTCAACAGCTCTTGCATGAAGCGCAGCCGGAGCGTCAGTGGGATCTCAAGGACCATCTCTGGTTTCCTTCGTAACATAGGGGCTTGGATAATTCGAAGTAGCATTGGGTTTTGGGGTATATGATCGTATCTTTCTTGTAATTTCCAGTACCTCAGCACTCCTTCTTGCACCGATAGCATGAAGCACACCAAGACCCTGTTCGAACTATAATGAAACTTCAAGTGGTAAGGAACCAGTCCACTTTAATCACAATCAGAGGACAAAATCCTAAACCCTAAACCCTAAGCCCTAAAGAAGTTGGGAGATGGAACCATGAGCACACGAATTCCGAGTCCAACCGGCTTGGGCTGATATGTTCTGGGAATTCGGTGCGAGTTCCTGGTTTCCCGGAACCTGGGTTCTGGAGTACCATACTTGAATACTTTTTTTGGGGAGCTGTTCCTTAAGGGAACCATTATGAAATAAAAGTCTATACTTTTTCTCCCTGGTTACTTCAAAGTCCAGAAACAAGTAACACCATTGCTATATAAGATAATACGACAAGCCCCACAACCCTGGTCAAAACCCTATTCTAACTAGTACAGGCCGAATAATACAGGGGGCCTCAAGAACTACCTGTATTTTTTGGCGGTTCCTTACTATGTAGAATATACCCCTAAAGCCCTATTCTAATTAGTAAGGCCCCCTATATTCATCCCCGAAGCCTCTTCCTTGCTGATCCTTGGTAGGACCGCCTGCTCCACGAGAAGATTCCCGCCGCCCTTCTGTGCCAGACGCTCCTGGAGGTGGGCCGGGAGCCGAAAAAGACCCGGTACACCCTCAACCCTACACTCTAAACCCTATCTAGGGTTTAGGGTCTAGGGCTTAGGGTTAAGGGTTTAGGTTTTAGGGTTTAGGGCTTCGGATAGACCCTAAACCCTAAACCCGACACAGCCTAGACCCAACCAAACCCAAAAACCCCCTACACCGTGAACTGACCTGCCAAGACCGGCACGCAGTTTCGGGCAGTCAGAGTTTGCGGGACCTTGGGCCTTAAGGCTGGGGATTTAAAGACTTAAAGCTTGGGGTTTCGGGCTTGGGGTTAAGGGCTTTGGGTTTAGGGCTCAGGGTTTAGGCTTTAGGGTTTTGGGTTTAGGGTTTAGGGTTTAGGGCTTAGGGTTTAGGGTTTGGGGTTGTGTGTTTCGGGCTTAGGGTTTGGGGGGTTCCGGGGGCTAGGGATGTAAAGCCTGGGGTTATGGAGCTTGTCTTGGCACAGAAAGGAGTTCTATCCATCCAAAGCTCCTGCAAACCCTCAGCCCTAAACTCCAAAGCCTGAGCCTTCAACCCCAATTAAGCACCAAAAGCCCCACAACCCCGAACCCTAATTAATTAACCATACCAAAAGCCCGAAACTCCCAAACACCCTAAACCTTAAACCCTTCTGCGCCCTTATAAAAGCCCTCTGTAGCCCTGATCTAAACCCAATTCCACTCAACTATCAAGGCCCGTTAGCCCTAAACCCTAAACCCAAAGCCCTCATCCCTAAACCCCAAACCCAAAACCTAAACCTAAGCCCCAAACCCAAAGCCTTGAACCCCAAACCATCAACCCTAAAGCCTAAACCCTAAACCAGGCCAGCTGCAGGGAGTACTTCGTGAACCTGAGGTATGTGGAGCGCCCCTGGGCCTAAGAGTTGTAAGGGTTGTATAGGTCTTGTTTCATGTTTTTCATACTACAATATAACATGCATATTTTGTTTTACTATACTGTATTGTATTTGTTTTTGTTATGACTATGATGATGATTACTACTGTTATTATTAATACTCTTAATATATATATATATATACATATTCATAATATTAATATGTATATTAAGAGTATTATTATTATTATTATCATTACTTTAGTATTATTATTATGGGATGATGTGGAACGCCGTGGGCTTCGAGTTGAGGTTTCTGGCTTTCAGGTTGCAGGCGTAAAGTTTAGGGTTTAAGGATTTAGGGTTTAGGGTTTAGGGTTTAGGGGCTAATTAATTACCTACGCTATCTTGGGGGTTCCTTACTATAATTATAGAGCAACATACCCCAAAACCCTATTCTAATTATTCCGGCCCCTACACCATATACCCTTATAGTAGCCCTTATAGAACCCTTGGTGGGAACCCCCAAAACCCTATTCTACTTGTCAAGGGCCCCTACATTTGGTCTTTCGGGCCTTGTCTTACGGTTTATGCCCCTAAACCCTAAAACCCTACACCCTAGACGCACTAAACCCTAAACCCTAAAACCCTACACCCTAGACCCACTAA